TGTAATGAATAGTTATAATTATTCTTCTTGTCAATGACCTTGTCCAAAGTCAGCTCAAAGATCCAGTCATCTGCGTGGACTCAGGTTGCATTTTCCCACCTTGAGGGTCTCAGGCATCAGTGCTTATGAGATGGTAATTCTCTACTTGTACCAAGTAAATATCTGTTACATTACAGTCCCACTTAGCATCTAAGCAATGCTAATACGGCTGTGTGGTTAGAAGACAGGATCTAAAGCACTAACTAACCTTCTCTGGGCTGCAAACTATTCCCAGGGCTTCCTTGTGTCTTCACATTAACATGAGCGTAACAGAAGCCAATGTTTGTAGATTCTCGGTTCAATAATTATTGATTTGTACAGACAGATTATACTTTGGGGTTTTACTGAAGATTAAATAATCACAAAAGCAAAAGAGTGGGTCTGGAGAAATGGCTCATGAGCTAAGAGCACTGGCTACTCTCACAGAGGACCCAGGTTTAATTCCCAACACCCATGTGGTGGCTCACCACTGCCTATAACTCCGGTTTTAGGGATCTGATGCACTCTTCTGGCCTCACAGACACCAGGCATGCACATGATGCAAATACATACACACATGCAGACAAAATATTAATATACATATTTTTTCAAAACTCTATAAATAAATACAATTTAAAATGAAAGAATTTCTATTCTGATGGTCTGATACAGCACAACGGAAGCCACCTAATCTGCTAGCACAGGATACTGCTGTCCTAGTTACCTATATTTGGGCCAAAGTCAGGTGAAAGCACATAGCTGCGTTTCATCTTTTCTACTTTTTATGATCTCTCTTTCTAATTCTCTCACTTGTGTGTATATGTGTCTGTCTGTCTGTCTGACTCCCTAGCTTTTAATAGCAAAAGCCATGATTTAGGTAAAAATCAAATTACCAAGACAGGAACAGAACAAATGGTCATTTTGTTCCCATATTCTATGTAATATATTATTTCGCATGTCTGTGCACACCGGGGAGATGGCTCAGATGGTAAGATTGCTTACTGTGCCATCAGAAGGGCCTGGGTTCAAATCCTGATAGATGCAGCCGCCCAGACCTGGGTTCAAATCCTGACAGATGCAGCCGCCCACGAGCTTGTTACCCTATTGCTGCGTGAGGTGGAGACGGGAGGGCTGCTGCAGCTTGTAAGCTGCTAGTCTAGCTGGAGATCCAGTGAGAGACGTCTCAAGGAAGGAAAATGGTGAGAGAGCCGGGCACGCGAGGCCCTCCTCAGGCCTCTCTCGCATGGTATGTAGACAGACACACGCACTTGAAGATACATCACACATACAAACACTGCAGGGAGGGCACGAGAATTCAATCTTTTCTTTCCTTGATGAAATGACTTTGAAAGACTAGACTTACTGCTTCCTGGAAGCCACATAAAATGATTTCGTCTTTAAACAAGTGTGGTCTGTGAGCTGGAAGTGGAGAACCTAGAGAGGGGCACATCAGAGGCGCCTCATTCAGAGCCAGAAAAGTAGGAGGAGCTTCTGGGGGCTTCAGGCAGGGTGTCCAGAGCACATCTCCTCTACCCATCCCCAGATCTCTCCCCCAGGCCCCCAACTCCAGTCAGCAGCTGTTGCCTCTGCAATTATGTGTGCTCCACATCCGTTACACACTGAGGGACACAGGATGGAATCATGGCAAAGGAGACCACGAAGGGCCTTTTTATGTCGTGGGACAGGTATGGAAGCAAAGATGACATTTATTCCTCAATCTCAGCCTATTTGAAGAGAAAGCTCTCCTGGCTTTACAATGGGGCCCGGACTAGAGCTTGATGGTAGAGCCCTTGCCCGGCAGCCTTGAGGTCCTGGGTTCCATCCCTACGACTGAAAATATTCTATTTAAGAAAGAAAAATGGAAAGAGGCGATGTCTGGATAGCAAGCATCCTGACTTGATGAGGCCGTCTAAACCTCTCCAAGAACCCTGTCCTCATTTTCCAACTCGATACCAAGAACTGAGCTGAGGTGGGCCAGGACATTGCTAATAATATCGGGGTCAGTCATTGGCTGAGCAGTTTCTTGGGGCCACATGATAAAGTTAATAATATGCACAGCCTCGCTGGATTCTCACAGTAGCCCTAGGCATGGGCCAGCTTTGCAAACAAGAACACCGAGGCTTGGAGAAGGCATGTCACAGAACTAGAGACTGAAAGACAAGGATTGAAAATTTGGTCTATCTACAGACTCCAGATCCCATGTTCTTCCCACTACATCTTGTTGTATATACCCGATGTCCCATTTTAACACGTCTGTGATTGACAACATACCTCCAAGGTACTGCTTGTTAAGTTACCTAAAGACCATACGTGTCACCACCTGGTGTAACAGCACGCATTTCCCTGGCCGACTCTGTGGTCTCTGTCTGTATGCGACAGATACAACTAGGGCCTTGACAGAGACGAAACCATGCTCTCTAAACTTTAGATGGATCAAAAGACAAAGAAGCACATTTCTTATCCACAGTAAAGACTTCTTCCTTTCAATCCCTCCTTTTTCCAGCAGCAAATTAAATGTCATCTCCATGGTTTGAAGGGTTGCTGTGACATTTGGGGGAGAAATGACATTCTTTGCTTAGGCTCATGGTACATGTTTCGTTCTCTGTCTATTCTGCCCATCGCCACCTTCTTCATAAGAGGAAGAGGAAGAGTTGGGACAGCTTTGTGCCTGGCGCACAGGGACAAACAACGGGTCACTGTAGGTTGTCTCTGGTACACTCTGCCGCCCCCTCATCATGCCCTTATCCATTGGATGAACGGACATTGCTTCAAACAGAATGGTAATAATGTACGCAGGAGATATTTTAGGGCCGGCAAGGAGATGGCTCAACTGACAGAGGCGTCTGGTGACCCGAGTTAGATCCCCAGAACACATATAAACGATGACAGAGACAAGGGAACTCCCACAGAATTGTTCTCTGGCCTTCATGCATCCACAACAGTGCACACACATCCCATCTCCCAAGAATAATAAAAAAAATTAAAAATACATTTAAAATGCAATTAATAGGGTAGGGCCTGTTGGTTCGCACCTTTAAACCCAGAACTCAGGGGGCAAAGGCAGGTGGATCTCTGTGTGTTTAAGGTCAGCTTAGTCTACAAAGTGAGTTGTAAGCCAGTGAGGACTACACAGCGAGCTCCTGTCTCAAAATAAAACAAGATTTTATTTTTCGAGATTGGGTTTCTCTGTAGCTTTGGAGCCTGTCCTGGAGCTAGCTAGCTCTTGTAGACCAGGCTGTCCTGGAACTCATAGAGATCTGCCTGCCTCTGCCTCCTGAGTGCTGGGATTATAGGCGTGCACCACCACTGCCTGACTAAAACAAGATTTTTTTCAAAGATACATAAGTCCTGTTCCCCATCCATCATGGATACCTTCCCAGCCCCCAGTGCAAGCCTGGAACCACAGACAATACCTAAATGTAACTTTCTTTACTTTGCCTTCTGCATGCAAACCTATGTTAAAGTTTAATTACAAATTGGGCACAATGAGAGATCAGCAGCAATAAAGAGAAATAATCATAGCTACACAATGAACAGAGCTGTTTTAAACTTAGTTTTTCATGACAGTTTCCAGTTAGTATTTTCAGAAAGCAGTGGGCCCTGTGTGACAAACTCACATGGCAGAACCCCTGTGTCCCTGCCAAGCCAGCTTCTGGGACTCAGAAAGTCACTGAGCACCACTGTGTCGAGAGCCATTGTCTCACACCTCGTGGGCACAGCCCTTTTTCTGTGGGGTTTGGTGGGCGTTTCACCAATGGTGCATCTCACCATTCTCGTGAAGTGAAAGGCCCTCTCGTCATTTCCACAACTGAGGATGCTTGCGCCCAAGAGAAAAGGGAGTCTTGGCAATGCAGAGACTTCAGGCCAGAGGCATGCAGCTTTTATGGCAGGGCTGACCACGGAAGCCTCGCGCCCATGGGGTTTGCCTGCATGCTTCTCGCCTGCTGAAATCTCCCGTTCGTTTATTTACTTGTATCAAGTCCACGTCCTAGAGAGGCAGAGGCACCATTTTTTCTTAAGCATTGCATCTAGCCAAGTGTCAGACACGCCGGAGACACGTGGTTTTCTCGAATGAATGAATGAATGCAAGATTGCCATATGTTTGAGGTCAATGTTCAACCACTATCGCGCAGCCGTGGTGATTACACAAGCTACTCCTCTGTGCGTGCAGAACTGTTTCCCACAAGGGCACTTTCTCTCATCCAAAGAAAATGGTCCATGATTCTCCATGCCCCTACACTCACTTTTCTCCCTCCAAGGGAGTGCCAGAGCCACCTAAAGGCTGGATCCCACCCCGTTGCTTTGTTGTAAGACTATACAGTAGGCTGACCAAGATGGTGGGCCCGGAGAGGGAACAACCTTCCCTCACCAATGGCTTTCCTGTTCCTGCCACCAACAGCAGTAACCTCTTCTGTTTCGTCCTACACGGGGACTGCACAGAGTCCTGGTAAGGTTTAAGTGTCTGTTGGTGACATGCCTGGTATGGCCTTGACTCCTGTCTCACCTGACAACACCCTTGCCTCTGAATTCTAAGGCGACTCTTACGTCCCTTACCTGACACTCCCAATGTACTGACAGTTTCTCTAGAAACACACACGCTAAAAACCTTGTCAGTGGGGTCCGTGGCATGGATGTCCCCGGGATCTGCCACCCGACTGAGACTGAGTGAACCCCAAAGGACTCTTTGCTATTACTTGAGACCTCCCAATAGTCAGTCTTGGAGTTCACTCTGTCTCACCGAAACCCTCGTCAAACTACAAGTCTCTAGGGAGAGGCGGGAGGGTGACAGCTGCGGCAGAGATGTTGCCCACCTTTTCCGTCCTGAAGAGTTTCGGGACCCCTAGAGGGGCAGCCGAAGAGGGTCCCAAGAGACCTGTAGAACATGTAGGGTGGGCAGTCAGGGGCCTGAGGAAGTGAAGCTCTGACCTCCCAGCATTCTGCTTTGTGATGTCATCGCTTTGTCAGTGGCCGCATGGAAGACAGGGTAGCTTACCTTAGAACCCACGGCCTGGCAACAGCGGGGACAGAAGGGGGCCATCTCCCTGCCTCCCTCGTGCGGGACTTGCGAGGACCCATTCCCCTGAAGCTACTCTACAGACAAGAGTGCCTGGTAGGTGTCACATGCTGTGTGTGTCACCAGACACACGAACGCAGGTCTGTCATTGAGCAGCACAGTGTTAGCTGGAACATAGCCATTTTCTTTCTTTTTGAGACAATGATTTGTAAATATCTGTGGCTGGTTGAGTATTTGGTATTTAGCCCAGGCTGGCCCCAGACCCCCAGTCATTCTCTTGACTATGCCTCCTGGAGTGCTGGAATGGCAGGGTAGACCATGCTCAAATATAGATATTTTTATAGCTACTCCGTATCTGTGGATGAGCCAACAGAGTCTCAAACAAATGGGAAGGGCTCCTTTGCCCAAGCAGTCACCAGGGAGTCAGAGATGCAAGAAAGGAACTAGTGGGGTTTTCTTTTCCTTCGATGGTGCATTTTGTTACACTGGCTTGCTGTGTGTTCCTCTCCGACATATGTCAGGCCCTTGCTGCTGCCTTCAACAGCTAGAAGCCCCCAACACTGAACACAGCTCCCGTAAAAATCTAGTGTCTTTTTGTAAATTCTCCCTGGAGTTGGGGAACTGGGGGGAGATGAGAATGCACCTTAGGCGGACATTAAGAAAGGACATTGAGAATCTTTTAAAACGATTCTTGACTATTGAATTCCCAAGTGACCCCCATGTGGTTTATAAGATCACCGCTTTGGGGAGACATAGTTCAAACAGTGCTAACAGTCTCACATACTGCTTCCTGGAACCCGCTGTCCCGGAAGAGGGCTAGGTCTAACTTGGAGAATCCCAGCCTGAGCTGTCTGTGTCTTTTCCAGGCAGAGACAGTCTGGGAAGGGCTTGGTTGACTTAAAGTGGAGTTACAAGTGGCTGCATCAGAAGGCTAACTCAAGTGCTTTGGCCGCGTGAGAAGTGTCAGGATACCCCCTCCAGCTCTTAGATGTCTGACCAGCCACTGAACCCGCCACCTTTTCAGATCCCATTTGAGGAGAGGGATGAGAAAATCCCTCCTGGGCGACCCACGGGTCGTGGGGAAGAAAAGCCAGAACCTTTCACGCTGGCTAGCCTGTGGCTCTTGAAGAGGCGGGCGTACTGCCCAGCTGGCGCCTCACTCAGGACCAGGAGGGAGGCTGGAAGAGGACCCGGAGAGGCGGGGTGGGAGCAAGGGTGCACAAGCCGGCTGAGAAAAGGTGTAGCCGCTGGAGAGAAATTAGAGACTTTGGCCCCTCTGGGAAGCAGGACGGTCCAGCACTCACACAGCGCCGGGGAGGCCCCAAACACTCCTCTCCCTCCTTGCTCTCGGCCCTTTGTTGTCCGCCTCTGGCTCCCGCTCATGCCCTCGGGTCCCCCGCCCCCCTGAAGTCACCCCAACTGCACTCATAATATTTTGCTTTGCGCCGGGTCTGTTTTCCACCACCAACTTCCAGCAGTCTCCATGGCGACGCGCTGGGGGTAGAGGGGGTGGGGGCGGCGGCGGCTGCTGTTCAGATCCCAGGCCCGAGCTGCGGAGCAGCCCTGGCTAACTTTTCCGGGTCTCTGGGTACCACGCTGGGAAAGTGCGCTATCCGGAGCCCGCCCTTGGATAATCTTGTAATCGCGAGCCCGCAGGCCCGTGGAGTCAAGCCTGTGTACTGCGGCCGCGTGGCCCAAGACTGCAATCACGGGTATCTGGAATCCCGGGACCACGCGACATTCATTTGACCCTGCTGCCAAGCTCAGATGCTAGCAGGTGGCAAGAGTGGGACCACGCAAGTCCACCTCTCCGACCACACACACACACCCACGTACGTCTGGGAGGGTGAGCCTGGCTTAGTACCGGAGCAAGGCTCAGATCTTTCGCTGCTTCCTGCTCTGAGCAAGGACCGGCTCTCCGGGCTACACAAGGAGGCTACTTTTACTTACCCAGAGCTTCTCCTGGGGGAAAAATGCAGGAGGTTCCAGGCCTATCTCTCTGGGGTAAAAACCTAAGACCCCAGAATGTCTCATCTTAGGGCACATGAAACGTGGCTGGACCTAGTACCGGGTCACCTTCCCTGCAGAACCAGGAGTCTTCCCACCAGTGGGCCCCGGGCATTCAGATCCGATCTGAGTTTTGGAGGCACAGGATGGGTGGGTGAGTGGGGGGAACTGGGCAGAGATAGAAGCTTCCAGTTGGAGCGCCAAAATGCACCTTTCTAACGAACCATCCCGTTTAACAAGAAATGACCCTTCTGACGCGTAGGCGACCAACCTACTTTGCACAAATTCTAGTTGGCTGAAAATTCTACCCATTTTCCTTGCTCATTATCGAATTTCTGAGTAAGGAGCAGCTGGACAGCGCTGCTCTGTGTAGGGGCATCTGGAATCATACCCAAAAGGTCACGAACAAGGAGCCACCTCCAGGGACCCTCCTAGTGAGGGCCAAATGGGCCTGAAAACCAACTTTGAGGCTGGGCGAGTTCAGCACGCTGGCTCTAACCTGTCCCGACACACCCGCACATCGCTGGATCCTGAGCGCGCCGGCTGCCTTTGCAGTCCGGAGGAGCTGAGCGAAGCCGCCTGAGTCCCGTCCTAGAGGGGCTTTGCTTTGTGGTGTTGAGAAACAGAGCCGAGGATCCAGGAGGCGCGCGCCGGCTCCAGGGCTTCCCCCGACTGGGCCATTGTCTTGGCCCCACACTTGTAGTGTGTATTTGGGAAAAACTCAAGGAATATATTACCAGCTCGATGCGCGGAACAAAGGGGTGAGTTTCCGCAGGTCACGCTGAAGTGGGCCCAAAGCAGGCCACTAGAGCCCCGGCCCCAGCAAAACTGTTCTCCCATGCCCGAGGCACTCTGCGGGGATTTCCTTTTAAAAGACAGAGACAGTAGCTTCGACTTGCCGGCCCCTCTAAACATGGATGCTCCGGACTTCGCTCCAGCAAATGCTATGAGCCTGTTGTTTGAGCCCATTAAGAATGAAATTTCGTGTTTCTAGCCCAGCGCAACCTTACACCGGGGAACAGAATCGAACTACCTAGTGGAGAGCTGGGCTCCGCACGCCCTGGGAGGGGGAATGAACCTTTTACATAACAAGGGAAACTCAGAAGAAAGACTAATTGGATTAATTCTCTGTAAGGGAGGCGAAAGAAGGCTCCTGGATCGGACCTCGCCGCGCCGCACTTCGCTTGTCCAGAGTTTTGCATGTGAAATGTCACCTGGTGCGCCCGGAATGACTTCTCAATTGCTGCCGTTAACCAAAACTTTTGATTTTTGAGTTCAGGAGTGTGATCTAGGGTTGCCTCTTAGGTATGAGAGAAGAGTGGGAGCAGGGAGGCACTGGGGTTTTATAACTCACTTGGGGTGTTTGCAGTTGGGCTGGGGGTGGCTAGTCCCCCCCCCCAACCACCTAATAATCCGGGATTAAAAATAGAACCTATCCATAGTTCAACAGCACTCTGCACCAATCAAGGACTCTAGTCCTGTGGAGGGATCAACTAAAACCCAGCTGGGCGTGCCTGATTTGGGGTATGAGGAAGGCCCCGAGACCATGTAGGGACCCCGTGAAACTCCTCAGCCACTTATTCTATATAGATTTAATCTGGTTAAATACATTCACTTTTAATGTTGTAGTTCTTAGGTTTTCCTTGAGTTAAAAAAAATAATGAAGCAAAAGTTTGCTCTTCCCTATCTGGGACCAGTATTAGTGGGGTGTGGAGAAGACCACAGGGGGACCTGAAGGTCTGTGCAGGGCGGTGCACTCCCCAGGCAAGAACGCTTCTTGCCTCCTCCGAGCGTGCCTGCAGATTAAAGAAGGCTCAGTCTTTAACCACTCTCTGGGCTTACAGATGCCCTGGGGAACGTGAGAACTTGATTGCCTCAGAGACAGAAAAGTACCCTGGGTCCGCCGTCTCCGCCACCAGGTCTGCAATGTAGGCCAGGAGAGGCCTGGAACATTTCTCCCAGAAACGAAGAACGACGTCTGGGAAGATACCGAGATGGCTTGGCCCATCACGGTCTTTTTGCGACCTGCCTAGGGGTGGGTGGAGTGGGGGCCGAGCTGTCTGCAGTGTTTATTTGCAAGTAAGTTATGTGTGTCAGGGCACAGCTGCGGCCAGCAGGCACTTGTTGCTCGGTTGCGATGCCCTCACATTCTCCCGGGTTTCAATGAAACGGGGCCGGGCCGCCTCTGTCCAGGCTGCCTCCTTCACCCCCTAGAAACTCGAAAGCTGCGGCCCAGCAGGGATTAGAGCGGCTTGGTGGAGAGACCGGGCCTATGGGAGGAATTAAACTTTTGGAGAACTTCTACATGGAAATGACATAGTAAAAGTAATCTAGATTTAGAAGTGTGGCGGGTCCCCAAAGATGCTAGACATTGAAGCTCTGACAGACGGTTCGACTGGAGAACGCACGGAGAGACTGGGTATTTTCGTTGTACGAGATCCCGCGTCTTTCCTTCTTTAGTGAACCACGGCGACCCTAGAGCCCACTATACAACCCTCTAACCGAAGGGCAGTTCGCAGAACTCAATGCCAGAACTCCGGCCTCTACTAATGTTTTGTATTCGGCTCCCCCCCACCCCAACTAGGTTACAGCCTCCGTCTGGAGCGGCTAGTGGGTTGCCTCTTCACGCCTGGGCTCCCACCTCTCTCAGCCCAAAGCTACGAATGCCCCAGGACCACCGGGTTCGCCGCCGCCACTCCCTCCAGCTGCGCGGCTCCTGCAGCAAGAGCCTCCACCTCCCGCGCGGTGAAACGCTGTCGCCCTCCCCCGCCTTTGGAGCGTTCTCGGCCCTCACCCCAGATCCTGAGCACACCACTACCCTGCCCAAAGCCAGGGCAGCTGCGGGGCCCGGGAGGGGGAGGCTGACTCGCAAAGTTCCTGCAGGCAGCAGCACCTCGAGCTCGCCGCGAGCCAGAGAGCATCTTTATGCAACTTTATGCACAAGTGAAAGCGCGCTCCGCAGCGTGCGCGCACGCGCACACTCGCATTTACACGCACACACACACTTCCATGCATTCACTTACACATTTAGCGCTGGGCCGAAAACTTCTGCACTCCTTCTCACCTGGGATCTCACTGTCAAGTTAAGCCGCCTGAACTTTTTGCATATCTTTCTCAAGTCCCCCCTGTCCCTGCTCCTTTCCCCCCAGTATCTCCCCACCAAGTCCCACCAGGACTAACCTGTGGAATCCATGTCGGGTTCCTCCAGTAACCCACAATGCATGCTCTTCCCATGGACAGCACAGACGACCCCCAAAAGTCCTGATATTTGGGGATCCCCTGTGCTAGAGATGCCCAGGGAGGAAGGGAGGGAAGGAGGGAGGAAGGAATGAGTAACAAGAGAGAGAGGGAGACGATGGGCGAGAGGGCAAAAGGATAAAAGGGGAAAAGAAAGAATCAGGAGAAAGAAAAGAGAAGGAGGCAAAGAAGCGAGGGGAGGAAGGAAGCGAACTGGAGCAGAGGGAGAGAGCAAGCGAGCGAGGGGACACTCAGTAATCCAGTCGGGCAAAGCCAAAACCGTCAAAATGTTTGCGGATGTTTCATGGGAAAAAACATCATTTTATAGGAGCCCCGATGGGAGCAATGTCATTGATAGGCCAGCGGGCCTGATGAATGGCCGCTCGTCAGATGGGGCCGTGGCGAGGCGCACTGTGAAGCCCATTGTGGGCCTGTTTTGAATAAGAAAAGCCGCCTCCGAAAAGGGGGGCTCAGAGCGACGCAATCCCAGCCCTCCGACTTCCCCCTTCTATTATAGCATTAGCAACGTTTTTCTTATTTAAAGTTCCAGAGGCCTTCTCCAGCCTTAGCCCGGCACTCATTATAGGCGAAATCAAAATTGGCTTAGATCTGCCCCCCTCTCCAGCCCTCCCGCGCCCGGGCCCCGCGCGGTGCAGCCATGGATGGGGGGTGCAGAAGGTGTCGGAGCCCTATGAGTCGCCTGTGCGGCCACGAGTGGGCCCAACTCCTTTTTTCTCTCCCCTTGAGACACGTCCCATTTCCGTCCTGAGTTAGATTTTGAGCAGGGGCCCTGGAGCAATGCAGACAGAGTGTGTCTTGAGTTTCTTCCACGCAGATCCGCGGACATGCGTGGGAGTAGAGGGTCGGGAAGGAGAAACTGAAGCCTTAGGTTCCCATCTCCAGTCTGAGAGACAAGAAGGACGCTTGGCAGGGAGGGGTGAGGGGCTGGCTCGCCTCCTCCACAACTTTTGTACCCCTTGTCTCTCGCCCAACGGGTCTCTCTAGGTCTCCGTCCTTGCTGTCTCGGTCTCCGCTTCTCCTATGGCTGCCTGTCTCTTTGTCTCTCCCTAGGACTACGTTCCCCCGGTCTCTGGGACCCCCACCCCCACCCTACCCCCTTGCCTCTTCCCATAACCCTGTATGTCAGTCTGTCTGCGTCCGGGTCCCTCCCTCTTCCCATGTCCCCTGGCTCCCCCCTCCGCCACCCTCTTGGTCCCCCACAGTCCGCAGCGGAGTTGGTGAGAAGCCCCCGGCGTCCGAGTTGGGGACGCGGCTTTCCCAGGGACCCCTCCCCGGTGCAGATGAAAGTGAAGGAGGAGGGGGCCGGGGCTGGCGGACCGCAAGTTGGGGTGGGGGGGGGCTCCCGCCGCCCCGGGAAAGTGGCCGCTCGCGGGCCGGCCGCGCTGTGATTAGAATATGAATGGGCTCGGCGGGCGGAAGAGAAAGGCGGATTACCCCGCTGCTTTGACCATGGACAGAGGCAGCGCTGGCGGCTCAGGGGCGGATCGCCCGGGTCTCTCCTGCCGCGCCGGGTGCGCTTCTTGCCCGCGACCCCGGGCCTGCCCACCGCGGGCCTCCGGGAAGCCCCCGAGCCGCGCCGAGTGGGACAATGGTGGGAGGGGGCAAGGGACCAGCACGTGCCGCGTTAAGGTCACGGGGCGCAGGGAAGGGGCAGCTCCGAGTGCTGGGCTGAAGGCTCCGCTGAGTTCGAATCCCGGCTCTGAAAAGTCCATCGTTTTTTTTTCTGGGCCTCAGTTTCATCGTCTGTGAAATGGGATAGCGAAGTTCCTTCCCGTTGTTCTCCCCAGGCCCTGACTAACCTCCGTGGGTAATTGCTCCTTCCTGCTCAGGCCTCTACTGAGTTCTAACCTGGGTTGTGTCCAGGGAATTTGGTCACAACCTCACACGCCGCCCTGCCGGGCCCAGAAGTCCTCCACCCACACTCACCCCCACCCTCAGCATACCCATTCCCGCTGTGGTGGTGGATGAAAGGCTTTGGCAGCCGAAGGGGTTGAGTAAGATCCCCTCGAACCCTCGTTGAGTTCGAAGTTAGAGCTCGAATGGTCGGGTCTGTCTCTGAAAGCCGCACTGGCCCTAGGATGAAATGCTAGGGTGTGCGTTGCAGGGTGCACTGGGTGATCCTGAGGATCCTGTCTCCAGGGAGGGGAGCTGCCCCACCGGGAGGGCGTAGGGTCCTCTGGGGAGCCCTCTAAAACCAACACTGGGGCAGAGATGTTCTGTAGGTCGGTGAGACTGTTACACAGCTGTTGCTAGCTAGATTACACTCATTATCCAGTGGAAGGGAGGGCGGGGCTGGGCTGGGCTGCCCCCACAAGGCAAGGGGGACAGAAAAGGTCTGCGAGGTCCGGACAGGCCTGGCCTGCGCTGGACAGGAACAACTCAGGGTGGCAACAGGGCCCTTCTCAACACTGGCCCGTCTGGCTTGGCCTGAGAGGGGAGAGGTTGGTTCTCTGAGCTACTGGAGTGAGGAGGGGAGACAAATGGCACCTATTAGGTTATGTTGCATGCCTGTTGCATGGTGGAGTGGGCAGATGTCAAACCGGGTATCACTGGGGAGGTGCCACTTGAGCTAAAAAACAGTGCTATCTTTCCTTGGAAGTCAGATAAAAACTTGAAAGCAGTGCTGCCTACGGGGCTGCCCACAGCAGTGTCTGGGGCCATTCACTACACAGTAAGCACACAGCTGGGAAAGTGCCCTCCTGCCAC